GCATCGGCGGAGGTGCTGCAATCATCGCTGGCATGATAGTTATGCCACCTGTGGCTGTAGCGGGTGTGTCTTTCAAGTCGGTTTTCTTTTCAGAAAGTGTTAAAGGCTTGAAAGTTTGGGAAGAAAGGGGCCGTGAGGATGGAGTGTTATGTTCCTTTTTTTTGGTGAAAAAAATGTTTTTTCCTTGTTTGCGTACAGTCGCACTGCTTTGTGTTATTACGAATTTTTTTTTAAATGCTGTTTCACGATTTTAGTAAAACTCATCGTTTTATGGAATTTGTGCGTTTCCTTGGCAAATCTTTTTGTAAGGAAGTGTTTATTCAAACTTGTAAGAGTGCTTGATCAAATAGGAAAAGCTTTCTTTAGGAGGGTTGGCGTTCATCATATGAGTTCAAAGATTCTTACAATGTTAATTTTGCCAACTTCACGATGGCAGACAACAGCTTCTTAAAATGTCTTATTGCTAATTCTAGGGCTAGCTGTTGGTGGGGCGGCTGCTGTATCAAATTTGACTACTGGTATTCTCAAAATGGCCAACATCAAGGTCCTTGTTCTCTGCTTACTCCTTTTTGTTGATTCTAACATATACAAATTGTTGTAGAAAAATGTAGACATTGCTATGAAAATGCTTGAATATGACAAACAATTGACTGAAAATTTGGCAAACGGCATCGTAATGCTCGAAGAGACGGAATCGTCGGTGTTATCTGTGGGCTTTGCATCAATCCATTTTAGTATTGCATGCTTTAAGGTACTAATTTTCAGAAAAATAAGATTAAAATAGAGAGGCGTTTGGGGGACCGCGTCAACCGTGATACAGTAATGAATGGTATTGGTGTGGGTGCAGTATCGGTGGCCGGTGGAGCTGCTCGCCTCCTCCTCAAGGAATCGGTAAATAGTTTTCACAGCGTATTGATGAAAATAGTTGGAACTTTTTCATTTCCAGACAGTCATAGAGTCAGCAGCGCTGAAAGGTGCCGTTCATGCAGCTACAGCCATAGGGATTGCGATTGATTTATTGACAGCTATACAGAGTGTCAGGGTGGGTCTTTTATCAGGCTGCAATTAAGTCAATTTATCGAGTTGTGAACTTCCACACAACACATCCGATCCGCAAACTGGGACGTGTCGACCAGTACACATGTTATTGTGTGCTACGCCGCATGATTAGTCACATTGAAGTTGTCCTTCCCAAAAGCTTAAGTGGAATATTTCAAACACTTTTCGTGTACCATGAGTGTTTCAAAATTTTGTTCTTCACTTGCTTTGAAAATTGTAATTAACGGAAAGATGTGGTAGGCTGTAAGTTGTCAGATTTTTTGAGTGAAGATAAAAGTGTCGTTTACGAATCAAATAAATTAGCCTAATATGTTTATTAGTCTGTGGCAGAACCATAGATAATAATCTAATCTTTCAGGGTCTAGCAAAGGGTTCCCATTCTGAAGTGGCCAAGAAACTTCGGTCAACGGCTGAGGAGCTGAAGACTAATCGTGAAAACATAACACGTCGCTTGCTGATGGAATATCTATAGTAACATTGTTCTTGTTCTTCAATTCATTGGAATATGTAAAAATTCTGTAAACTGGTGAACGCATATTTTTCCTTTTTTAAAATTTTGATATTTTTTGTATTTATGCTTTGAAAACCTTAAAGAGCTTCTCAAGACATAACTTTTCAGTGGAAATGAAAAGAGGTTGTTGAGATTGAAAAGTTTTCATTTCAATGTTGGTAAAACATCATGACGGGCTTATATCCAACTATTAGAGGATGCTTTGAGATGAGTGTGGGTTGCAATAATCACATTATAGCTCCCAAAGCTGATTTGAAATACCAGAAGTTCTATTCCGAAAATGTGTGATTTTGATCATCTTGTTGTTGTGATATTTCCACTTGAGTTGTTTGATCTGTCGTCTTTGAACTGCTTCTTTTAATAATATGCGCTTATTAATCGATCCATTTCTATTGTATCTTTCGCGACAGTGGATCTATTGCCATAATTCGAAAAACATGTAATGATTGCCTTAGTATTGCTGTAGATGGCTTTGAATGGATTTATTTGAATGTAGTTTAACTTGAATAAAGCATTCTCTCTCCATTTGTTTATTTCAACATTATCTTGAGACAGCTGCCTTAAACCTAGGTTTTTTTGATGAAGAATAGAAATTTCAAATAAAGATGATTCAAAGGTAAAGAAGGCCGGTATCTAGCGAA